GTCTACCATACTTGCTGTGCCGCTCATCATAAGGAATCAGGTGCGGGCATGTTTATTGTCATTGTCATGCAGCTATTTGAGCGGGAAGCTTTGGATTTATTCCTCACTTCAGTCATAAAGGAATTACTGTAACAGTCCGAGGCTTGGCACCTCGGCCCTGTCCTTACAGATTGGTATTAGGTTAATTAATTATGTTGGATGAATAAAAATTAATTGTTAATATATTTATAAATATATATATTTATAAATATATATATATATAAATGAATAAATATTTTTTATTTTATATGCATCCTTATGGGGCAAAGGAAAAAAATATTTCTATCCCCATCTAACGGATCAAGAATATTTCTTTCCGTAATGAGAATCTCCACAAAATTTTATCGATCTTAAAGGAAATTACCATCCCTAGTTGTAGGCAACAACCTATTATTATCTAGCGCTTTCTGTAACCTTGCGTGAAGTCCAGACTGCGTTGAGCTAGCATGCATGTCCCCTGACTAATAGGAAGGAGCTCTCTAAGGTGAAAATGACCGCTTCAAATCACTCTCAATTTGTATGCTTCTGAGCTCCAGCTGCTTTGCAATGGAATGCCCTCCCGTCTGGCTAAGGCCTCCAAAGTTGTAACGGAACCCAACCCCTGCTAACTGACTCTGCTATTGATACAGAAATTGCCACCTCACACAAAAATATCTGATACAGAAACAGCCACCTCACACAACTATCTGATACAGAAACAGCCACCTCACAATGTCTGACACAGGAATCGTCACCTCATTGTTTTTTTCAGCAATTATTGTTAGTTGGGTCGGTCAAATGATTGTAAAGTCTGTTCCTTTCTGTAATTTTCATTCTCGTAGCTTTTGATGTATGCGAAGGCCCGAGGAAGAAACCTTTCCGTTGATGGAAACGCAAATATCTACCATACTAGAAATATCTAGAACCATCTCATGAAATATCTTCAATATAAAAATCAAAGATATTTTCATTGATTGCTTCCATCTTTACCCACCAAATGCCCCCAAATGAATAGCACTTGCTTCCCTTACGTTGTACTTTAATGATGAAAGTTAAGGGACACCTTTTTCTCGCTAAAATTTTATCTTTCGTGCATTCTTTATTTATGGAATTGTTTAGTATAACTATTTAAAATTAATAATTAATGATTTTATTTAATTTAATGAATATAATAATTATTAATTATTAAATTAAACATAATCTTTAGTTTTTACTTTTAATCGTTGTACCAAAACACCTTAAAATTAGGATGGCTTCCCACCTTATAGGCCTTCGAGAGCCTTCGCTATGTTTTTAAACTTTACTAATGTCTTGTACAATATGATCTAATAATATTAATAACACCAAATGCATATTTATTCATTCATTTTTCTCCCATTCAATCACTTAAACTTTTTTTTTTTCCTATCTTAGATAGTGACTGCAATATAAAAAGACACCATTTATAATAATATATTATACTATTCAAACTCATCTTAATCATAGTTTATTTGATTTTATTTTTTTACTATATATCTTATATAATATTCTCCAATTAATTAGTTTATAAATGATTTACAATATATTTAGGTTTAAAGAAATTAAGAGGAGAGAAGAATTTTTTTTTCTTTATTTAATTATAAAAAAGTGATTAAATCCCTAATTCAATGACTGAACTATTGTACGGATTTTAATTTGATCCTTGAATTAAAAAAATGTTTAATTTGATTCCTAAATTATTGTACGAACTTTTAATTTGATTGTTACTGTTTATTAATTTACCTCAAATTAATCATTTTGTACAAAAATTAACTTACTTATTTTATTATTAATGTGATATATAATCATTAAATTATTATTTTTTATCCTAAAGTTATTATTTTTTCTCGTTAAATAACGAACAAATAATTTTATTTTATTTTTTTTTTGTAAATTACTCTTACCATTTTACCGTTTATTTACTGCACAGATTCATATAAATATCCCCTAGACCACCAAATATCATTCCGTATCAAACTAATCATTAAATTACTTGCCAATTTGCCGACCATCGTAAGGATCTTCCTTGATCGCCGTTGCCACAGGGCACTGCACTCGCCGCAACCCATGTCCACCGCTGGTTCCGCCACCGCCACACTCTTGACCCCGACGTTGGACTCTGAATCCCAAGCCTTGCTTCAATCCATCACTTCCCATGGCGGCTACGCCTATGCCCGCATGGCGTCGCTTGCAGCTTCCGGCGACCAACGCGCAGCCGAGGTGGCGCGTGAGATGGCCTGGGAGCAGCTCCATTCTGGGCCCTGGCACTCCGTGCTCCCCGTTTGGCGGGACGCTTATTCCATGGCCTGCCTTTATGTCGCCAAGTTTCACTTCTCCAATGGGGAGTTCAAGGACGCGCTTAGGGCTCTGGACATGGGCATCATCATGGGAGGCCCCTTGCTTAGGAAAGACTTAGACTCTGCAATCGAAGTTGTTTTGGAAGCCAAAACAGGGCGGCAGAATGACAAAGCTGCTATTCGGAACGAGGGTCCCCGAAATTCTGGACGTCCGAAGCTGCTTTGCCCGGAAAATTTTGATAAGTCCGAGGTAAGGTTCGTTTTCCTTGAGTACATCCGCCACCACCAGGGCATTTGAAGTTTTTTTCTTTCCTCTTAAGTTTGGTAATGCCATATGATAAAATTGTTTGATATTTGATTATTTGATGTGTGCTATTAATGATTGGTTTAGTAGATTTTCAGGATTTTTTTTTTTTTTTCATTGAGAGCAATGTTGTGTATGAATTGCATGCTTTAGGAGCAAGATGGAAGCACCATAGTCAGAAAGCACATTGAGTTAATCCAAAGAATGCACTTTTTTTCAAGATAAAAGAAAAAGGAAGAGAGTAGTGCTTAAAGAGTATGAAGTTGAGCAGTGAAATGTGCTGTGATTTACTTGTTTCTGTCACTCTAGTTGTGGAAATGCTTCGGATACCTATTTGTTAGGTGTTCACTTGCAGATAAAGGGATAATTTTGTAAGGTTATGTAGTATCTGATATTCCTTCTAATGGTTGTTTATTTCAATTCGTAGGTACTTAAGGTTTTACCAGTCAGGTCATTGTCTTGTAAGATTGTGGTGAAGAGGTCCGCCCTTTCCTTGGAGGGATTTCTACATGAATATTTTCTTTTAGGTTCTCCAGTCATAATTACTGATTGTATGGCTCATTGGCCAGCCAGAACAAAGTGGAATGACTTGGATTACCTAACAAGGGTTGCTGGTGATCGTACAGTTCCAGTTGAGGTGATTAATCTTTCAGCACCAAGAATGCTATTTTCTGCTGTTTTCTCTTCAAATGGTAGCTTACACATTATTCCTCAGAAATTTTAAGTTATTTTATAATACTAAAATTTGTAAGTATTTCCATGGTTTAGACTTGCTATGGTATATTCTTAATTTTTCCACACCTGGCATGAAAGAAAATTTGCTCAAGTTGTAGCTTGAGATGCTAGATGAATATTGGAGAGGACAATGCCTTCATGTCCTAGTTTTTTCCTGGAATGTTTCCTCTTGAAAACATGGAAAACCAATTTGCTGAGATGGTTACATAGTAATTTTTATCACTAAAATTAAGTGAAAGTTAGCAATGATTTGCAGGTTGGGAAAAATTATTTATGCCCTGAGTGGAAGCAAGAACTTATTACATTTTCTCAGTTTCTTGAGAGGATCCAATCTAATGATTGTTCTTCTGCAGTTCGCACATATCTTGCACAACATCAGTTGTTTGATCAGGTATGTCTATTGACTCTATTCCCTTTATATATGTGTAATGCATTGGATGATATAACTTTGTAATGTATAATAGCTTGATGTTATATTAAAATGTCAGATAATTGAGCTACAGAAGGACATTTGTATTCCTGACTACTGCTATGCTGGTGGTGGGGAGATAAGGTCTGTAAATGCGTGGTTTGGTCCAGCTGGGACAGTAACACCATTGCACCATGATCCACACCATAATATACTTGCACAGGTATTGTAGAGTTGGTAGGATTTTTTGGTTTGGTATATATAGAGTTAGTAGGAAGATTGGTCATGCATGACTTAGTGTTGCCTTACTGTGAACTTAGATGCACTCACTTAGTATTTTGATCAGCAACGGACTCATCACTTCTTTCAAATGAACCTGTATTTAACCCTACCCCACACCCCCAAATCCCCCCTTCTTTAGTTTTTGTGACTTGGGATCTTGAATGCTAAAGTGTACGCTAAAGTTTAATGTATATACATGGGTGAAAGATACCCACGTCAAACCCTTGAACATATCTGTTGATGCACCCAAGAGACACATGCAACATGCCTGCATTCTATGGTTTTTTCTCTTTCTTTGTCATGGTAGTCCTAGGTGATGCAGATTCAAAGTTCAAACATTGGCACTGGAAATTATATCTTGTAAAGAATTTTGATATAACAATTAAGAAAAAAGCAGAGGATCCATTATCATATTATTTTTTTAGGGAAATTATATTTAGCTCTCTTTTTTTCATATTACAAGTAAATATTTGTTTCCTGTTTTTTCAGGTTGTTGGCAAGAAGTATGTAAGACTGTATGCTGCAACATTGACTGAGGAGCTTTACCCATACTCTGAAACAATGCTTAAAAATTCCAGCCAGGTAGCTGCTAACTTGGTCCCCTCTTTAAGACTCAGCCTATCTGCAAGAATTTTTGTTACTTTTCATGATAGGATTTATAGTAATCCAGCATATCGTCTATGTTATTTCTTATATATGCTTCTTTCCTTTCATAAACACAGAAAACACATGCACACAATTGATTAAGTCAACATATAGAATCTTGGCTGGTTTTAATGTTGCATAAATGCCTTACCATTCTGTAGTTTCTAATTCTTCAGTGTCGAATTTCAATAGTTTAAAGCCACATGCTCTGACAGTCTTTATGTTCTTTTGTGTGAGACCAAGCATCCTTCATCTTGCTTTCTATAGGTCTCCACTTCTTTATACCTGTTTAGATGATTTGAGATGTGTTTATATACTGATTGAACATCCCCTGCTTGAACTTTGAAGGTCGATCTAGACAACATAGATGAGGTAGAGTTCCCAAAGGTGCATGACTTAGAATTTCTGGACTGTATTTTAGAGGAAGGGGAAATGCTTTACATCCCCCCAAAATGGTGGCACTACGTGCGATCCCTTACGCCAAGTTTTTCAGTCAGCTTCTGGTGGAGCGGTTCTGCCAGTCCAACAGCATCCTGACCTGATAGCCTAATTCTTTCCGGGTTCTGTTCTTTTTAAAGAACCAGGCATTATATCAGAAACTAAGCTGATAAAAATTCTTACACAGACAGAATGAGAACGGTGATAGTGTAATCTTATGTATGCATAGATATATGATAGTATATGTACTCAAAAGGAAATCCTTAGAATGCAAGAAGTAGACAATTTTGAGGTGTATTTTGATTTTAGAAATTGCTGTAATTTGAGGAATTGCTGTTTATTTATGAAATCTTTGAGATGATTATGAACCTCTTTGTCCATGACAGTGAAGTGTCAAGTGGTCGGCGTGAAGCACAAGTAATGTTTGTATGCCTTCCTTTCTTACATTTATTTTTTACATTGTTTGGACTAATTGTCAAAGCAAACTCCATTTTTATTTTCCCACTTTCTCTTCACCAATGCAGCATGCAGGAACTCGTCCATGGCTTTCACAGAGGATCCTCTGAAACCTTTCTCTTCTTTCATGGCGTTCTTGATCAAATCCCTAACCCCCCGAGCTCTCCGTCCCATTTCCTTTCCTTCTTCTGTTCCATTCATCACCATTTTAATCTTCTCCAATATGTCTTCATGTCGAACTTCACAAACACTCCCTTCCGCCACCCAAATGCAAACCCCAAACTCTTCTGCCAACATCTTTGCATTGAAATGTTGCTCTGCCATCATCGGCCATGCCATTAACGGAACGCCTGCTCAAAGCTTCAAGTACCGAGTTCCACCCACAATGGCTCAGAAACGCCGATGCAGATTTGTGGGACAAAATTTGGACCTGTGGAGCCCAATTGGGTACCAAAAGCCCCTGGTTCAAGCTCTGAACTCGTAGCTCAAACCCAGTCGGCAGCCATTTACCGACGTTGGATTTGGAAACTTCGTCATCCTCGGATGGTGGCTTAATAACCCAGATGAAATCTTTCCCGCTGGCCTCCAGCGCCATTGCTAATTGCATCATTTGGGACGCAGAGATTGTCGCCTGAGAGCCGAATGCAATGTAGAGGACTGAATTTGGAGGCTTGGAATCAAGCCATTTCTTGCAGAGGCTCCATTCGATTCCAGTTCCTTGCCCGGCAGCACGAGCTCCGCTTTCAATCGGAAGAATAGGCCCAACCGGCCACACAGGGCGATTCAATTGCTGTCTAAAATACGTCAAACCAATGGGATCAAACTCCTCCACGGTGTTCAACAAAAGACCATCAGAATCCAACCATTCACGTAAAACTTTTTTTATAAACAGAGTCCACGAATCAAAGCATTCTGCAGTTCTAAGATCGTACGGAATCTGATTCACTTGAACTCGAGATGATTTAGGAAACCCCGGAATTGGATAATCGGGAGCTGTACTGCTTAATCTCATCCTCGGAAAGTTTGACCAGAGAGAGTGAAAAACCGCCATGCCATACCCTCCACCGGCGTTAAAGATTGCATGGAAAACTCCGAACTCATTCGCCACCTCTGCAGTCCAAGGGAAGAACATGTCTGCAATGATACAGAGTGGAGGCCTGCCCTGTTCATGGACGATATCGGAGATGAGACCTCGGAAAGATGGTTTGAATGAGTGAGTAGTTTGGAGGAGGCGGAGCATGAGAGGGTAAGGAAGGGCGTCTGTGTTCTCGGAATTGGGAGGGAGACCGTGATCGGAGCTGCAAAAAGGGATTTCGAGGAGGCGGATGGAGGAGTTTGGAGGCAGGAATGATCTCAGTTTGTTGATGTTGAGAGGGGTGTTGATCAAAGTTACGGCGTGACCATATCTTGCTGCTATTTGGTGAGCTAATGCTAAGAAAGGACGTATGTGGCCTTGTGCCATGAACGGGAACATGACTATGTTCTCAGTCGCCATAGCTTGCAATTCAAGGAAATGGCGGTGGTGAGTCTGGTCTGGTGACTCGTGAGAAAAATGGAAAAAAACAGTGCTTGATTTTTCTTGGAAGGGATGTGGGTCTAAAGGCTCCTTTTATGCTGTTTTTTTTTTTTTTCCATAATGTTTCTGTTAAGAGTAAGGTAGCTGTTTGCATTGCAACTCTCTTAATTGATATGTCGGGTGTACTTTTGTGTTGATATTAATAATTTTTGGATGTTTAAGGCATAAGTGCAGTTGGCAGTAAATGAAGCATTGTAGCCATCAATGCAGCCAAGGACGAAGCCAGAATTTTAGGTTATGGCTCACGAGTGCAAAATTTTAAATTTTCTGTAAGTCATGATCCATTTACGTCAGTACATAATTTATGGGTGATACTGTTGGGATAATTTTTTTTGTTTCATTTTTTTATACAATTTTCACATGTCGTTAAATGAGTAAATGTATTTAATATTAAAAGTCTCACATGAATTAAAAATCTCACATGAATTAAAAGAATCAATCATTTTAATGATATATCAAATTATATAAAAAGATAAAACAAAATAATTATTCCAATAGCATTTTCCATAATTTATATAGATATTATATCAATCGCTAATTTTGTGTGTCAATGAACTAAATATTAAAAACAACTTTTAAAAGCTTACGGGGGCCACTACCCCCTTCTACTAGGGTTCGTCCCTAAATGCGGCAATCATGCAAACATTAAATGTAATTCTCTATGTTGTTGAGCATTGGAATTTATGTCTTCAATTTATTAAAGAAATTAATTGAAGTTCAGAGCAGAGTTGCAGAGGTTCTGGAACATGGCAAAAAGTTTCAGAATATTTGTGCTTTTTGAGTCGATATCGTTGCAATTTTGACAAGTTTCAGAACTTATCTAAAAGGTTCTGAAACATATACATGCAGTTGGAGTGGTAATGCAAAATTGACAAGGATTTTAAATAGAGAAAAAATTGTAAACTCCAAATTGAAGTGGGATATAGACTTTTACTCCAAACCTAATTCCAGTATTTGTAATCAAATATAAATATGTGTTACTAGTAAATCCAAAATAAGATATGTGTAAGTGAAACAAAAAGAGTGTGGTGTGATTATAATACAAGCCCTATATGGTGGTGAGAGAGGGTGCCTCCACTGTCAGTGGATATCAAAATTGTGAAATTTATCTACTTAATTAAAGTGTTGAAAAGGGCTTGGTAGTCATGAGTGCCTAATGAGAGTTTCTTAGAGGCTATTGAGAGTTTCTAGGCATGTGAGAGAAAGTACAAAATCAAAAGAGTGTTTTTGAAAGAAATTAAGAGTTTCTTGAGAATATTGAGATTGGGTTTCTAATAACCATTTCTTAATAATGAATTTTTTTTTTCGTCTCCGTGATTTAATTTTGTCCTCACTTCAAAAGGTAATTTTTTTCATTTTAAATTGAGTACTCTTCTTCCTTATTATGTTGCTTTATTTTTTAAGTCACTTGCATAATTTTGAAGTGATATTTTTCATCAATCGGCCTGGTGTAAGTTAAATTCTAACAAGTGCTTTTGGAGATTGGAGAGAGAAATTTAAATTCCCAACAATGGTAATATAGCTTGGAGAGAAGTGGATTTAATTCCCAACATTGAGGGGATACTGAACAATGTAATCCCTCTCTTTATGTAAGCTGCTTATGTATGAAGAATCTATGAATGAGAGAAAGTCTGGAAAAATGAAAACTCAAACCTGTATTTTCACCTGTATCTTCTTCATTTTAAATCTGACTTCTTGAATTTCATTCATCCAGAAATCCATCAGTTTCATGTTTGCTTTCTTTCATTTTGGTCAATGTTTTATTCACTATAATCGCGAAGACATTTATTTTGAAGCTCTACATTATAGCTTTGGCTTCTGACCCAACGCTTATTTGATAAACACTACGACCCTGTTTGGTTTGGGAGGATATCTTGCAAGTTACATTGGTTAGATCTTGTCAGGCATCGTGTTTGGCGTATTTGATAATATTTCAGCCCAATTCTGAGTATAACAAGCAGCCCGGAGGGAAATGGAACAACTATCAAACATGACTTAAAAACCTGCCTCACAAACACGTTTTCATTACTGTGATATGCATTCTCATCACTATGTTAATTCTTGTTCAATTCTAAGATTTAAGTAAGGCGGCCAATACTAAGACCAGTTAACATGGCCAAGTACTATTAATTAATGCAAACGCTAATCCTTTTTCCTCATCACCTTAATCTTGCCTATGTACCTTGACAACCCTAATTTTAAGTTTTATGACAAAGAAGTTGAGGTTAGGGTAATTTGCAATGAGGACTTTAAATGGTATTAATTGTTTTCTTCATAGTTCGACATTAAGTGGCCTTGTGGTCACTCCCCTTTGAGGGAGATGTCAGGACACCAAAATCTTGGATTTTATATTTAAGTATTATTTTCTTACTCCAAAATTACGGCAGTTTAATAAAAAAAAAAAAAGAATTGAAAATAAAATTAGTATGCTTGCTCATCAATTTCTAATAAAGCCTACTATAGGAATTGAAAAAGTTAAAGATTCTTGAGTTGATGAATGCTGTTATTTCCAAATCTAGTTTATCTTTTTCACAGATTAATGACATTGACATGGATTGCTACTTTTTATTGATTGACGAGGGGGTGTATGAGGGGTGGCTCAATTGATAAGAAAAAACACTCAGCCTGCCCGTGTCTAGATTTGACTCCCACTGTCAACCAATAGTTCCTTTTCAATTGCATTAATTGGGATTATACTATCAAATATCCTTTCAAAGCAATTTTCAATTGAACCTGCAGAGATTTACCTCGTCCTCAATCCTCTTTCCCAATTCATGATAAATAGGAATAGAGGAATCCAATTTGGACAGTTATTAGCGTCTACTTTCTGCTAGTTACAAGCTTTTCTAATTATAAGGGCCCTTGGAAAAACATTGCAGAAAAGAATACAAAGTTACTTAAGCTACGGATTTATACCTGCAAAGAACCTTACACCTTAAAACCCTATCCTGAACATAAAATCCTGGCATCACCATGATCTTGACCCGGCTAGAACCATGTGCCCTTTGCCTGTCCATGAACATGTCTTCCATGTAATGGGAATCAAAGGTTCTGTTCTCTTCAACCCTAAGAATTGCCAATGGGGGACTGAATGAGAATGCAAGCAAATGAAGCAACCATATGCATTTGGCAGCAACAAAGAAAACTTGAAGCAGTTGTTCAGGCCATGGTCTAGTCCAATTCAGCGTTGCGATGATCAAACTCATCTTCTGATCACAAAACTTGCTAAAGTCTTCACTGTAGTATTTCGTCCCCTTCCTCAGTACTTCATTCCAGCTTAGATTTCTCAGCGCAACAAATGATGAAAACTGTGCTTGGCGATCTTGTTGTGGATCCAAGATCTTTGGAGAGCCATTCTTCTGAAACACACAATTCTCAAAGTCTTGGTAGAGTGATTGGTTTATGATAGCTTCCAAATGGTACAGCACTGCCTTTGTGTACTTTGAATTCAATGACAGTTTATATGGTTGAAGAAGCAAATTCAAATTCTCAGTTAGAGTATTATCAGAATCTTCAATCTGTCCAGTGAGTGTCTTGCAGAATTGTTTCACCGACAATCTTGCTTCTGATACTATCTGCAAGAAGCCTTCTACCATTACTTCCTCACTGACAGGCATCGAGTTTTCTCCATTCCCATCAATGGATTTCCCTCTCCTAGGAAAATTTCCAAGCCTTTCGTGGACTAGAGAATCCTTTGCTTGTGTTGTTGCTTGCCTTAAGGCTTTCTTAAGCTCCTCACAGTAACTTTCCAAGTACTCCAGCTTCTGCCTTAGCTCCCCTACTGAAGATTTCATTTCAGCGACTTCCATGAGTGCTGCATCCCTATTCTCATTTGCTTCTATCAGCGCCCTCTTCAATGTTTCAACTGACAGCATTCCCAGCTCCTTGTAAAATTGTGAAACCTCCTCAGACTCTGTCCGATTCGGTGAATTCTCATTCTTATTTTTCTTCTTTAACCGTGGGAACAACCGTGAAATCACTCCACGGCTCTTTGGTTGAGACTGAACTGATGAGTGAGAATCTGTCAATGGCACCACAGTATTAGAGTTCTTGACACTCCTCATGACATTTTCGGATTCAGCTGTTAGGACAGCAGGCTTGCATCTATTGCAGGATGAAACTGACTTGAAGTCCCCCAAATTGTTCCCCTTACTTGACTTGTAGACTTCAGTTCCTGGTGATGTCTGAAGAACACTAGTGTGGTTCGTGCTAGAACCAGTTGGGAAATGATTTTCAGCATGACAAACATGAGATTCTAATGTGGTCAAACCAGGAAAGAATCCTTTCCTTGATGCTGAACTCTCCTTCCTGTAATCTGATAGAGTAGTTTCACTTCCATTTCCCCCTTCTAGGCCATACTCATCCCAACTTCCAGATAATGCACTATGCTTTGTTGGAAATTGGTACCCATGTAATGGTTCATCCTCATAACTCTGTCAAAATTTTCCTAAAGCTTAATAAAGGCTAAACCCTTTTTGTAAAATGCTAAAAAACCATAATTGAAATTCAAAAAAAACCCAGAAGCTAGTCAAATCTAATGGAGGGAATTCAATTAACATAGAATAGATTATAAAGCACTGTCATTTAGTAAAGAAAATTAAACAATTAAAAAATGCATTAAGATTGATGAAAAAAAACATAGAGGACTAATCAAAAAGCAATACTCACAGGGGTAAAAACAGGGTAATCTTGAGCAGAGAACTGAGGAACAGAGTGGGAAGCAGGGGAAGCAGAGGTAGAGTATCTGAGATTAGCAGGACTGTTTCCTTGCATCAAAGCTGCATGTAAAGCCCTCAGCTCCACTGCTTTAGCAATGGCAGCTTGTATCTCCTGCCTGCTAACCTCATTGCTGTTGTTGTCTCCATTACGACCCTGAAAGATTTGTGAAGCCGTGGTAGCCGCTGCCATGTACAGAGGATGAGCATACACCCAAACAATAAAACAAAATCAAAGTCACACAATTCCTGAAATCTTCAGGAAAAACAAACACCAAGGAAGATTAAAACATGGGTATCCAATGGTTGGACTTGATTTGCAGAGTCGAAGATGATATCTATCCAACGTAGTAGAATCATGGATAACCAGAAACGTGAAGAGAGATATGGAATTGTAGGGTACCTCAAATCCAATATGCTTTTGTCTTGGCACGCTCATGAATTAATAGAATGATAACATGTGAAGCAGAGAGAGTGTGAGAGAGAAGAGAGGAGTAATTTTGACTCAATGTTGCAATGGTTCAACGAGATTCCAGTTTACCAAAATGCCCATAGTTTCCTAAAATAACAGAGACCCACATAGTGAAGTGGTGGGGGGTGCATAATTACTTTTCAGTATCTTCAAAAACACAAGATGACTTCCACTATCCTAACGGAGATGCGGTTATGTGGTGATTGCAACTCACTATTTTATTATGATTGTTTAATTTTGTATAATTTAATTGTTATTAATAATTAATAATTAATAAAATAATTAATATTTATTATTTAATATGTTAAAATTAATTTATAAATTAATATTTTTAAATATTATAATTAATTATTTAAAAAACTATAAATAAATAAATAAATATATTTTAATATTAAAAATATTAATACATTTAATAATAATTACATAATAAATTTAATAAAATTAAAATTTATACTATACTATATATATTTTCAACAAATTTACAAAAAATTAAATTCAAACCATTGTCTGAAAAAAAAAAGATACACTTTAAACGTGACTTGATGACACTAAGTCCAAGTACTACCATATTTTATATACTTAATGATTATAATTAAATATTTTAATATTTTAAATATCAAAATATATTAATTTTTTAAAATAAAATATTAATCAAACTAAATAATTTTTAAATAACTTCACCTAAATGGTGAGTGGTCAACCACACCCACAAATAGTGGTTCTCACTCCTCATAATGGAACTGTGTGTTGGACCAAAAAAAAAACATAGTACAGTGTGTGTTATACTACAACTTTCTTCCTCAAATCACAATAATTAATCATATGAGTAGAGGTTGATTGATTACGGTGAATTTTGTGTTAGACCCACATTTATTGTTGATTAGACTTGTTTTGTTTTAAGCTTATAGAATATAATTTTTCTGTGAGTCATTTGGACCGGTACAAAGACGTACATCTTTTTATTGTTAGAATTAAGTATACGTGTATTACCAATTTTAACTCTACAAATGTCAAAATTGAGTACAAATTATATTTTTAAGAGAATCGACTAATGACTTAGTGGTTCCCTTAAATCAAAGCTCAGAAGCTCCATGTGAGGAATTTGAATCTTTGAGAGCTTTCAATTAATAACTTTCTCCTTTCCCTAATTGTTTTTTTTTTTTTTAAAGAAAGATATATATCAAAGTGTTTAAGATAAAATCCAACATATATATTTTTTACATCAAAGTCTAATAATTTAAATATAAAATCTTTCAATTAAAATTTTCATTATTTAAATATGGAATCCACAATCTTTTCCTGTTAAAGTCATCATCTTTTTCAGAAGCAACTTTTCATTGGTTAGGAAGATGAGACCATTAACTCTTAAACAAAATTTCAACAATTATGAATAAAATAAATATTTTTTTTTCTTTAAGTTAGTATTTTATATATGAAAACAAAGCGTATTAGACTAAAAAGTGTGAGGGTAAATTGGTCAAGTGAGCTGTCCAAATGTAGATTTCGCCGAAAGGAGTGGAGATGGGGGGACAGAAGCATCCAGTGCCTCCCCACTCACTGGTCCATCCCATTCTACTTTGAACAGTTAATCTTGCGAGAAATAATGCAACTGTGGGGACCAAAATAACGAAAAAAAAATCAATTCTTAAAACCCTAAAAAAGAGGGAAAAAAATGACCATCTTATATTTAGTATCATGTGAGTCCCAAGACAAGAATATTTATTTGGGGGGCTAAATGGAGTATTTCAAGGAACTAAAGGGTATTTTTGAAGTAAACGAAAGTAATATTAAATATGGATTTATCTTTTTGTTTATTTCTAATGGAATTCCATGTAGGATTACTGACATTTTCAATGTCTTGAGTTTGTTGTTTCCCATAAGTACTTTTGTTAGGGACATAATTAGTATCTTTTTTAACCCAACCACTCCCATCCAAAAGTAAGCTCGTTTTGTCAACCTCCACATGCATAAAGCTTTCATTCTACTTGTTTTAAAGTTAATAAGAATTAAATAGATTTGTGTAACTTGTACCCTTATAATATAAGTTAAAAATATATTAAATATATTTTTTATTATAGATTTATAATTAAAAAATAAAAATTAATATTTAATTTATTAACTATTTAATTAAATTTACCCACTTAGCATTGATATTAAAATTAATATTAGTTTTTATAATTTTTATATACATTTATAATAAAAAATTACTCTTAACTTATATCCTAAGGTACTGGTTAAAAAAATCGAAATTAAATTAACAATCCTCTACCTAATTAACATGAGATTAAAGGTATAAACAATTGAAGTGGTCCACTATTAATTTTGTTTAAGTAAAAGTTTTGAGTTCGAATAATAAACATATAAGTGAAGTGAGTAAGAAAATGAGATCTAAGCCTGATATTTAGTTGGTTTTTGTTGTACTTATAATTTTTATATGATTATAAAATATATTAAATTACTAATTTGTTAATCTAAACATGTAATTTATGGCTTAAAAATTGAATGAACTTGAACTTGTACAATTCACCCTCTCTCTTGCAGTTCATTGAGCCAATAGTTTTGTCTTCACAATAACAAAGATAATGATAGTCCAATTCACTGTTATTAATTAGGTGGGGAAACTTTACTTTTTCATCATTCTATATAGCATTGACAAGTCATTAAAGCAAAGATGTTTCTTTTAATTCAAGTTTTCTTATGGGTTATTTCTCATCATGTCATTTAATACATGGTCTTCTCAATAATTTTGGTCATGCATATTTGGACAGTTCTTCATCCAAAATCTACCAAAATTTGGGTTGAAACAAGAGTCCAGCTTCCCCATAGGAATTGTACTCTTTGCTTTGTTATGTCTTTATTTTGCTTTTTATGGATACTAAATTTTATGTTAATGGGTTCAATAGACTATGGATACTAAATTCTATGTTAATGGTTCAATAGACTAACTACATAAAAGACCCAAAAGCAGACACAATGATCAAAGCTTCCAATTGCTAGAGATTTATTTTCTCCAAGGAATGATCTATGCCATGTTCCACAACTATGAGCAATGATTCATCTTATAATGGACCCCCATCAACATCAACCCTTACCCCATTTGTATTTTTGGCCACATGTTTTCCCAATCCTACCCATCCATCCTTGTACTAGGCTGCCTGCTCTCACAAAACCTTTTTGCACTCTCTCTTGTTCTCACCTTAAAAGAGAATATCTAATTTATTATTCTAGCTTGCTGCTAGGGATGATCTAGGCAACCCCTTTCCCTTTCACTTCCAGCCTTACTTGTAAGGAAACAAGAGAGAGTAATTTGGTTATGGTGTCTGTGCTGGAAAGCAATGGAACAGGAGTGAACAAGAACATATCCAACGAAGTCCTAGCAACATTATGCAGCAAAAGCTGGTTTTGATTCTTCTTTTATTTTTCCTGTGAAATGCTCACAAGCCCACCTCTAACTGCCATATACACCAAGTATTTTTCTTTAAGCGAAAGCAGAAAGTACTGAGTATTTATTTTACTTTTCCTGCTGGATTCATGGCATAATGTCTTGGTTGTTGTCCTGTTCTGCTTGTTCCACTTTTGCGAAGGGTGGATTCCAAGATGGAACAAACATTAGCATCGTTTTTTTTTTTTCTTTTTTCTTTTTTCCTTTCATTCTTTGTGATTATCACGCCTCTTAGCACAAATCAAACAATATTATGAGTATGTTTGGTGAATCTTGTAAATGTTTTAGTTTTTTATACTATTTATATTTCATAAATTAAATTTTTTTTCTTAAAAACTTACATTTTTTAATTTTTTTTAATTTTAAAAAAATCATAAACAATAAACAACAAATTTTAAAAATTTTCAAACTTTTACTTTTTATAATCTTGTTTTTTATAATTTTTTTTCTATTTATCTTTTATTATTTTTAAGAGCAATTTTTAAATTTTTTTTCTAATAAAAATTTAAACTTATGACTCATAAACAATATTAAAAAAATAAAACCTCTACCAAACAGACCTTATATATTGTATCATGAAGGCTTAGGTACATTATCCAAAACACTCGTCTGTTTGATGACAATGCATATATCCTTTCTGTTTCCTTGGAAATTTGTGATACCTAACAATGCTAGACATCTTTTTGCAACCCCAATCCCAATAGAGATTAGAGAAGATGCCATTGATGTAATCTAGACAATGCTGCAAAAAAGCTTATGTCCCTTTCATCTCTCCGTTTCTTTTGTTATTTTCTTTTGAGGCAACATGAAGAAAAACTACATATGATGTTGAGCTTCCTTTCATCTTTTTGGCATTAGGAGCTGACGAAAAAGAAAAATGAAAATTTATTCCTGGAACAAATTGAAGATAGTGGGTGTCTTTGTATATTTCTATCTTTAGAACTATATATATTGAGAAACCATCTAATGCTTTTCTTGCTCCTACACAATCACTACAAAGCAAATTAATTTTGTGGAAGTTGCAGGGAAATTTCACATCAGTTGGTCTTGTATAGTGTGACTTAATAGCCTCATGTGACCAAGAGCATGAAATTTCTTTCCCTTTGATCAAGATGTTTCTTAACTTTCTATCCATTTCTCGAGATTAAAATCTTGCTCAAGCAATAAATGCTCACCACATACATTTACCTGGTGCATTTTGATATGACTAAACCACTACGACACGGCAAGATTTAGAAAAAAAACAAAATAAATTCCAATCGGATCGGTAATGGGCCTAGAAATCCTTCTTTACCTTTTTTTCAACTCTGAAAACGTGGCCCAATATAAATGAAGTCCACCGGCCCTACATAGAAACGTCTCGTCTGCCGTACGATTGCAATCGGCGTTTGTCCTCTCTTAATATTCAATGAACGGCCTAGATCATCTTTTGTGATGACGCGGATCATGACTTCCAAGTTCGTATAGCCGTCGATAATACCTTTTAATCTACGGTCTGGATTTGCTAATTCGAATGTCTCGAAAACACACAAAATTTTCATCTTCCCGCTTTCTCCAAGTTTTCCCTTATAAAAGATCTCCCAAATCCCCTTTTCATCAAGTCAACACCAAAATCTCTCTGATTTCCCTTGTTTTCTTCGAATTTGAAATGGCTCGCACCAAGCAGACCGCCAGAAAATCAACGGGCGGTAAGGCGCCGCGGAAGCAGCTGGCCACAAAGGCTGCTCGGAAGTCGGCACCGGCCACCGGAGGTGTGAAGAAGCCACATCGCTTCAGACCTGGAACCGTGGCTCTGAGGGAGATCAGGAAGTACCAGAAGAGCACTGAGCTTTTGATCCGAAAGCTTCCGTTCCAGAGGCTGGTGAGAGAGATCGCTCAGGATTTCAAGACTGATTTGAGGTTCCAAAGCAGTGCGGTTGCGGCGCTCCAGGAGGCAGCTGAGGCGTACCTTGTGGGGCTCTTTGAGGA